TGAAACTGAGCCCCAGAACGGAGACAGGGTTAAGCAAAAGACAGGGTTAAGCAAAAAAAAATAACGTACCCGGGGTGATAGGGTGCCTGAGAATTTGTTGGTTTTGCCTTGGTGACCCAGCATTGATGCGAAGTCTTCATGTTCCAAGCCCGCGATTTGCCAGTGGTGCAGCCATAAAGGATGTGTAATGTTGAACAGCTAGTTTGGGACAGCGCGTTCGAATCGTGAAGGGCTTGCAACTGCAACCATGTTTTGAGGCATATGCTGCAAAATGTTTGACTGTCCTGTTCTCAGCACCAATATCCCGCCCGTTGGCTACCCTGCCCCAACATTTCAGTCCGGCTCCACACTTTCCCACCCGCATTTGTTCGTAGTTCTGCGTGAGTTTCGTGTGTGAGTGTGTGTGCGTTCTCCCTTTTCAAGGACACGGCACGCATGCGTTTTCTGTAGAATGCGCCGCACACGGATTTGCTAAAGGACACGTGGTGATGTGTTTCTGTATTTCAAGGATGCACTCAGTCGATGGCAAATTCGGATACCTGCGAGTGGCTCGATGCCAGGACATGCTGGAAAAGTTCCCGGCGCTGGCACACCTCGATGGCACTGCGCGGCATCAATCAGTCAGTCGAGCTGATGAGCCCTGGGTCCATAGCCTTCTTCTAGCAGTTGGCCGCTGGATAGGTTTGCCGGCCTTGATCAACACCAGCTTCAACACCAAAGGCCGACCCATCACCAACACCATTGAAGAGTGTTTGGGGATGCTGAGCTCTCTCCCGGATTTGGACTACGTTGTGATTGAAGACTGGCTTTTTCACAAGCCAGCTTCAGCATCCACCAATTGAGGATGAACAGCACATCAACACGGTGATGCTGGCCTCGAAACCTTGGCGTTCTAAACGACCGTGGATTCTGAGCACCTCAAGCGGATGGAGGGCACAATGGTTGTCCAGCATGACGGCACTATACGGCATTGAAGTTTTAGGATGTCAAGTCAATGGCAAAAGATCCTTTGTGCGATTGTAACCATGGCTATTAGCATCAGGTTTGTTTAGAATTGAAAAGGTGGAATCATATGGGTTATGTGACTCAGTCTGACTAGTTCGAAACAACATGATAATTCCAGACACTAAGTGATTGCACATTTAACTAAACATGACTTATGAATTGTTGGTTTCCCTACAAACTAATTACATATTGCTTCATTTACACTTGTAATAACATCGATATATATATAATATACATATTACATATTTAGGGACGGGTGAAATAATTATAATGTAATGCATTAGAAAGAATATCAATATTGGAATGTAGGATAATAAGATTTGCTATTCGATATAAAATTATTAAGGTTAAGGAATTGGTGTTTATATTATTGTATTCGAATTTGTTTAGATTTGTTTAATCTTTAAACATTAGATGATTGAATACTTATATATATCATAAATTGGGTGATGGTTTATTGAATTAATGATTGTTGGAGAATATGTTTTATTATATATACGTTGTTGTGTTTGGTTGAATTAAATTATTAATTGTATTAATATATTAATGGATAATATAATAAAGGTAGATGTGTTGATATTAATATATATATGTATATAATTGAATAATTATGAATTAAAATATGTAAAACAAATAAAACTTTAGAGCCTCCGGCTCAGTCCGCCGACATTGTCCTCTCCCTTTTCTCCTTCCTCTCTCCCTTGTCTCCCTTGTGTGTTCTGTCGTCCTCTCTCCCTCCCTCTGCTCCCCAACCTCCCCATCCCCCCAAGCCTCTCTCTCACCAATCTCCCTCTCTCCTATGTATGTATGCATGTATATATGCATGTATATATGCATGTATGTATGTGTGTATGTATGTATGTATGTATGTATGTATGTATGTATGTATGTATGTATGTATGTATGTATGTATGTATGTATGTAATGTAATGTAATGTAATGTAATGTAATGTAATGTGTATGTATGTATGTATGTATGTATGTATGTATGTATGTATGTATGTATGTATGTATGTATGTATGTATGTATGTATGTATGTATGTATGTATGTATGTATGTATGTATGTATGTATGTATGTATGTATGTATGTATGTATGTATGTATGTATGTATGTATGTATGTAATGAATGTATGTATGTATGTATGTATGTATGTATGTATGTATGTATGTATGTATGTATGTATGTGTGTGTGTGTGTGTGTATGTAATGTAATGTAATGTAATCTAATCTAATGTAATGTAATGTAATGTAATGTAATCTAATGTATGTATGTATGTATGTAATATGTATCTATGTAATGTATGTATGTATGTATGTATGCATGTATGTATGTATGTATGTTTGTATGTAATGTATGTATGTATGTATGTATGTATGTATGTATGTATGTATGTATGTATGTAATGTATGTATGTATGTATGTATGTATGTATGTATGTATGTATGTATGTATGTATGTATGTATGTATGTATATGTAATGTATGTATGTGTGTATGTAATGTAATGTAATGTAATGTAATGTAATGTAATGTAATGTAATGTAATGTAATGTAATGTAATGTAATGTAATGTAATGTAATGTAATGTAATGTATGTAATGTAATGTAATGTAATGTAATGTAATGTAATGTAATGTAATGTAATGTAATGTAATGTAATGTAATGTAATGTAATGTAATGTAATGTAATGTAATGTAATGTAATGTGTATGTATGTATGTATGTATGTATGTATGTATGTATGTATGTATGTATGTATGTATGTAATGTAATGTAATGTAATGTAATGTAATGTATGTAATGTAATGTAATGTAATGTAATGTAATGTAATGTAATGTAATGTATGTAATGTATGTAATGTAATGTATGTAATGTAATATAATGTAATGTAATGTAATGTATGTATGTATGTATGTATGTATGTATGTATGTATGTATGTATGTATGTATGTAATGTAATGTAATGTAATGTAATGTAATGTAATGTAATGTAATGTAATGTAATGTAATGTAATGTAATGTAATGTAATGTAATGTATGTATGTAATGTAATGTAATGTATGTATGTATGTATGTATGTATGTAATGTAATGTATGTATGTATGTAATGTAATGTAATGTATGTGTAATGTAATGTAATGTAATGTAATGTAATGTAATGTAATGTAATGTAATGTAATGTAATGTAATGTAATGTAATGTTATGTATGTATGTATGTATGTATGTAGTGTATGTCTGTCTGTCTGTATGTATGTAGTGTATGTATGTATGTATGTATGTATGTGTGTCTGTATGTATGTATGTGATGTATGTCATATATGTTATGTATGTTATGTATGTATGTTCTGTTTGGCATGTATATCATATAGGTAATATATGTCATGTAGGTATGTATGTCATGTAGGTATGTTATGTAGGTATGTAGAAACGTAGGAATGTAATATATGTAATATTATATTATGTAATATTATATTATGCAATATTTTATTATGCAATATTTTATAATATATATATTTATTATATATAATATATATATTTTTTTTTGTTTTTCGTATTTCTTCTTTGTTTTTTTATATTTCTTTTAAATTTTTTGGTTTTAGTGTTTTTGCTAAAAGGATAGGATATATAATGTTATTTTACGATTGTATTTAAGAGATTATGCTAATAATGTTCCACTAAACAAAAATAGCAAAACAAAAATCCCAAGCTTAATTCCCCCTATCGAGCTATTTGGGTTTCCTATATCTTTTTACCAAAAATCTAGGGGAAAAAAACATAAAATAATATTTCTAAATCTTATTATTTTTATTTTAAACAATTTCATTAATTATATTTTCATAATCCAATTACCAATCTTTCTCATTCTTTTTTCCAACTATTTATAAATTAGTCCCTATATATAATATAATCCTTTATATCTGCCGACATTATTTGGCGTCTGAATTGTGGTTGGCCGACGATTGAGGGGTGTTTATATAAAAAAATATTGTATAATTTATATATTTTATATGAATTGGAATTATAAAAAAATATATAAATGATATTTGGGAAATAAGTAAATCAATGGATATTTTGATATATTTCGTAATTGGTAAGGAATAATTTAATTGATAGAAAACAAAATACTATATTTGATATATTGAATATTTTCTTTATTTGATATTTATTGATTTTTTATTTTTTATTTTTCTAGGTTTTGGGCTGGAAAGGATAGATTGATTGGAGAAAATGTATAAAGAATGAAATGAAGAAATTAATTAATGAATAATAGGATAGGAAAAAGAAATCTTATTTTTTCGATGATAATTATAAATAAAATGAGATATTTATATAATTGATAATATTAATATTAATTGAATTAAATTTTAATTATATTAATTGAATTTATTAAATATATATATAATAATTTTACATATTAATATTAACTAAAGAATATTACCAATTACCAATTAAGATAAATACAAAACGAAATATATTTATTTAATTAATATTTTTAATAAATGAATTGAAACAGGAATCTTTCAAATTTCTTTAAAATCATAAATAAATAAAACAAATAATAAGATATTTAATAAAAAAACATCAAACTATATTTGTTGATTTATAATTGATTGAATAATATATAAATCATAAATATAATTATAGAAATATAATTAATATTTTACAGAATATAATTTGATTTTTTTTATTCTTATGTATTTTTATTTTTCATTATATATAATGGATATGAATTGAATCCCATTTTCCATTTCATAAATTGTGAGAATTTATATTAATATACAATATATGTTAAGATAAATTTATATTATTATATATTAAATATATATTTTTGATAAATTAGAAATTATTATGATTTTATTCTTATAAATTATATATAAATAAAATACAATATGTATTTAAAAAAAATAATAATTTGTAGTTTGTATATTGTAAATATTAATAAATTAGATATTTATAGAAATTATCAAATATTAATATATATTTATGAATATCTTATATATAGCATATTTCTGCCTTAGATTCAATTATTCATTTTGTATGTTTTTCAAATATGAATTCCAATATATTATTTAAATTGGAAGATAGATTATCCAGATCTATATATTGATCAATTCATATCTAATTATAAATATCATTATATATAGCAAGATAAATAATTGAATTAATTATATAAAATTTCATAAATATGAAATTCATAAAATAAAATCATTATATTATAGTGTTTAAATATATATTCAACATAAACATATTTATATATTCAAAATCATGAAAATAATAATAATAATTTTATAAAATCTATAATTAATTTAGGATATCGAATCAATGTATATATATCAATATAATTATAAGATTTTTGCAATATTAAATTTATATTTATTAAATAATAATAGTTCCTATAATATATTTTAATATATTCATTATTAGAACAATTATATTATTATTTCTTTATGAATAAATTTTATGAATAAAGATACCAATCGATTTTTATTATATATAATATAAATATATATATTAAATATAAATATTATAATTCAATATATTTTTCAATATTATTATATATATAATATTATTAATAATAATATTATGAATCTATAATATTCAAAAAATATATAGTAAAATATATATATTATATATATATTATATTATATATTTATATAATATAGATATATTAAATAATATAAATAAATAAATATGAATTAAATATAATAAATATCAATATAATAATTTTAATATATATATAGTCAATATGTAAAGTCTTGTTTATAGTTAAAAATTATCGGATAAAAATTATCGTTATTTTAATAAATCTATTATTTTATATAATTGTATATATATCCTTATGTTTCATAAATATTATTATTTTGCAAGCCGTATACAGTAAAAGAAAAATATTTTGGCAATTCCAATTTTTCAATATAAATTTAACAAAAACAAATATAATTTAGTAATCGTCGAGATCCACAATTATTTCCTCAAAAAGATTAATATTTGTTCATTCAATAAATAATTCAATCCAAATCTTCAAATCGAGATATTTAAGAACATTAATAATAAACAAAAATTATAAATTACAATTTTTCAAATAGAATATTCACAATTATTCTAACAATAAATACATTATTAATTATAATTCAAAATTTTCAATTTTTCAATATCAATAACAATATGTCAATATAAATATAATATAAAACATATATCATAATATTCCGAATAAAAATATGATTTTCTTGTTCAAAATAAATATTTAAAACCATATAATTCAATAATTTCGATCATAATATTTCAACATAAATATAATAATAAAATAATTCAATATAAATCGTAAAAAATCATAAATTCCCAATAAAGAAATAATATCCATTATCAAGAAAATTTAAATATATATATGCTATTATATATATTAATATATAATATCCAAATTTGTATCTAAAAAACACATTACATCAATTTATAATATTATTTATTTATAAATAAAATATATTTTATCAATTACATTACATTCAATTTGTATCATATCTATATATAAGATCAATAATTTAATTCAAAATAGAATTTATATTTTAATAATTTATACCCACATATTTCATTATTTTTTGTTTTTTTTTGGGCCAAACATATTCCTATCTTCAATATTCATAGTAGGATTTCCTTCGTAACTATTCATCTCTGTTCATTTGTATTTATATATATGTATATATATATGTTGTATATTCGTAAACTATCTTGTTTTATTTACGAGCTGGCTAAATCATCTTCGTCGTTTCGATCGTGACATCGGTTCACCTATAAGGATGTGTTTGCACTCGAGAAGTTGGCTGCCAATCCCGCCTCTCCGGCTGTCTTCTGACATGCGGCTATCGCCATCTCTGCTGTCCTTTGCATGGCTCCCATGGCAAGTCACATTCATGAGCATAGCGCCCACTCCCCAACATTCCCTTCAGCTCTTGCATCTCTCCTGTTGGGATCTCCGCTTGGAGCCCCTGCCTGACAAAGCCGAGTGTAGAAACAAAGTTGTGAGCGTGCGAGCGTGCTCATGGAGCGGCGGGGTGCCTTTGCTTTTTGCTGGAGGTTCTCGAGAATCATCCCGACTGTCCTTCCAGTCATAGCTTGGTTTGGCCTGAGACCTTGCCTGCAAGCTGGTAATTTCTCACATCGACGCAAGCAAGCAAGGGCAATGGTGACTGTCCGCGGCTGCTCGACCTCTGGCCCTTCGTTTCTTTGGAGCCTTGCAGGGGCAAGCAAAATGGCTCTCTCTGGAACAAAGCCGCTAGAACATTCAACATGCGTAACCAAGCCCCAATATCTTTGGAAATTTCTTTGCAAACTAGACAAGCATTCTGCTCTGAAGGCTGAGTGCCAAACCTCTTGGTCGCTTTCGCTCTCGGCTTGATGCTTGCCTGGTCAAAGCGCATAACATTATCCTTGCACGGGCTAAACGGCGAGTGACCTGCCTCGCCACTCATTTCGCCCAACAAACGCCAGGATCGCGTGAATCCAATGTGCAGTGAAACTCTCTGAGTGGTCGGCTGACTACGCGCTTTTTGCGCTTTGCCTTTGCATCATCGCCGCTCACCTTGGCACAGCTTGCACTGGATCTAATCAGGAGCAACCAAAGCAGCGCTCTGTGGTCCCATGGCCGCTTTGTTGTGTGTTGTGGGCACCGCGACTTCTTCGGCGTAAAAGTTGAAGGAAGGGCTTACATTCTCTGATCATACTGCGCTCTTTGCAAGCCAGGGCACCACCTTCTTCACTACCACCGTTTTCACCTTCCTTTTCACCAGCACCCTTAGCCAGCGTGCGGCACTTCCAACTCTCAGTGTGCAGCATTTCGGACAGATCAAGCCCGGCCGAGTGCTCTGCTTTTTCTTCTTGGGACTTTCGCTTCCTCGGCAAGCCAGCCGCAGCGAGCCGAGCCCATCCGTCACAAAGCATTGCATCTGCTCTGGGCACGCGACGCTCCTCAGACGCTGAATCTTCGGAGGACTCCTTCTAGCAGCAACAACGACAGCGGCACAGCTTTTCAGCAGAGCAAACCATGTGCACCCTGCCTCCCAACAACATTAAGCCACAAGTGGTACAAGCACAGTACAATCGGGCCGCTTGACTGTCTGCCTGTGTGCGCCATGTGCTACGGCGCTCGCAAATTAACACCCAAAGTAGCTGTCCGGTTAACTAGCGAATTCAATAGGAACAAGCTACGCTACCTCCAATGCCTTCAGCCTCGTACCTGCTGTTGAACGAGATGCACAGCTCGCCTACTGGTACAACATGTCGGATATTTGTCAGCTAGGAAAATGCACCTGCATGGAGTCCTCGGACTCTGACTCAGACTTCTTCTTGTTTTGCTTCTTCTTCTCCTGGAGTCGAAGTGCAAGTAGCCGCAACATGGCCCTCTTGCTGCCACGGGGCAGCACCGGTGAACAACTATCAACTCCGCCAAAAAGTGCATCTGCTCTATTGGCCAGTCCTCTGGCATTGGCGCCTTGTCTTGTGGTTTCTCGTGCCCTTCCTGCCTCAGCTCCTGCATTCAGTGATTCGAAGTCCAGGATTCACAAAACAAGAAGCTGACATCCTTGTGTTGAAAACCACCTCCCCTCGTGTTGAAAACCACCAGGCGGCCATCACATGTCCACAGGTGGGTGCCTTCGGCACAAAGGTCTCCACCGGAGCCGTGGCCACGGGCGGCGGCTTCGCCAGCTTGGCCTCCGGCTCTGGCTCTTCCAGGACCTCGCGTGGGCCCGTCCCATCCTCCCAAAGCGGCCCATCCGAAGAGCAGGCGACGCACCGTCCAAAACAGCCGAGAACATGAGGACATGATTGCAACATGGAAAGCCGCACGAGTTACAACAAAAGTTGAAACCAAGGTGCCAGAACACAAGCGACACACTCGATTCGCAGCTTTGCTCGGAGTCTCCAAGCCCAGTCTAAGGTGGCGGCCCATTTCCAGCCCCCCTCCTTGACGTGTGTCTTGGGTATGGTCCTTGGAACTGGGGCACCTGGCAGCCTCTGGTAGCCTCACTGGTAGGAAACAACATTTCACCTACTGAGTGAACATGTTTCAAATTGGGGACTGTGACCTACGCGCCGCCGTGTTGCTGCTGTTTCAAGTCCAATACAAGTCCAATAGCACCTGCCCGTGCCGACCGCACTGCAGAAACAGCCCAGAAGCCCCTCTGCAAGGTCAAAGCCAAATGTGCAATCTCAGCTGCCAGCTTGCCACCCTCCAATCGCCACATGCCCGCGGGGCCGCCGCGCTCGCCGATGACACGGTAGCGCTCGCCCCTAGCCAAGCAAACTGAGACGAACGCTGCTCGCAGCTGATTCCATTTGCATTTCAGGAACCAAACCATGCTTTGCAAGCTGCACTCTCGAACTTCCAACCATGCGGTCCAGCCCCCTGTCAGTTAAGCACTGGACTCAGGAGATCGCACAAGTTAAGCAGCACACTTCAAACACTCGTACTTGTTCTTCAGAACCTCCACAACGCCATCAACTCCTCAAAACAGCCATGCTGCTTCGATCAAGCTTTGGCAGATTCATACGCGCACGTGCCGGCTTGTGCGTCTCCTTTGACCTTGCCCACGAGCTTGGACCTATCCTCCTCCAGCTGATGTTGCACCTGGGCCATGGGCTTGGCTCCGGTCCTCTTTGTCATCTCGAGACTCGTGGCCCTCGGATCCTGGGCTCGCTGCACCAAAGCCGCCAGTTCGCCTCTGACTGGCAGGCACCTGGCCAGGTGCCAAACCCGGGCGCCCGGGTTTGGCGCGAATGCCGCGCCTCACAGCCCACGACCCGCGTGAAGAAGGCCTTGGGAGGCAAGGGTTTCCAGGGTCCCCGTGCCCCGGCCATCCGTCCTGCACTGTGTCCGCAAGCTCCGGCTTGAACAAACGCTTTGGAGCAGCCTGGCGCCAATTCAGCTGGGAAGTTGCATCCGAGTCGAGAGGTCGCCATCCCAACATAGTGAAGCCAAATTTGCAATCGCCTCTTGATTGAAATCTTGGGAAGACTAGGCCCAGGCAGGGTCGAGAATGCAAAAGGAAGCATCCATCACAAGCTGACAGCTCGCCTTGGCTTCCGCCTTCTCATTGGCCATCCTGGCGTGGCAACTGCCCTTGCCCTGCGGCTTATCACTGTCCCGCCCCTTGTGCATTGCAGGGACCTGCATCTACTGCACTTTTGTGGTTGCCAGTTCGGAGAGGGAATCCGAAGCGGCTCTGTCAAACCCGCAGGCGGGCTCTCTCCGCTGCGCAAACATCACCGAGACGGTGTTCGCCAGCTCTCGGCTCCTTCCGGCTTAGGCGCCGAACTTCTTCCGAACGACTCCACACCCGCCTCTTGGCACGTGTCTGAATAATGTGCACCGGATCCTGGACCACTGACATCCACTGACTTTTTTGTGGCATTCCATGAGACGACGTGACGGACATATTTCATCTCTGGGTGCTGTGCCATGCTCTCACTGGCAGGGCCCTCAGAGATGATCCGCCACTGGTCCTCAACCCGCAGCTGGCCACAGCTTCAAATCGAACTCGTGACTTGACCCCCCGACCGGGGTTATTTGAATGTTGCCACCTTCCTTTTGCCGTGCCCATGCAAACAGGCTTGAAATCACGATGTAGAGCCATGCTTCAAGACAAACCCTTGGACAGGGCACAATTTTGACCAAGTTGTGTTTCAATTCAAGGCTCGTGGGGCCTTCCCAAAAGGATCAACGCCGTGTGGCTGAAGCTGCGAGGAAAAAAAAAAAACATGTTGCAGCAGGTTCATGGGGCAACAAGTGTGCAAGCTCGCCGGGGCTTGGCAAAATGACTGCTTCGCCAGTGAGGCCGCTTTGACATGGCAAAGCCATGCAAAGCAATGATCTAATCACGGAAGGGCATGAAATGTTACCGGGAACTCTGTAAGCAGCGCGGCGGTCCTTTTGACACACATGTTGTGTTCTACATGGGTGGCAGGGCTTGAAGCTTATGCGGCACTTATGCGTTTTCTGACGGTCATTTGTTCTCGCAGCTTGCTGGCCATTCGCCCAAGAGCCGTGAGTGAAGCGCAAGCTGGGTGCCGCGCCGCAGCTCCAAACATGTCGAGCTGCTTGGCGCCCTCCTGATCGAGTGTGGGATTCAAGGGGATGGCGCTGACGCCGCGGCCTCGCCCAAGTAGGTCTCGTTGGACTTGATCCAATCTTTCACCTGCGCCACATGCTGAAACCAATGGTCTTCCGTTCGCTTGAAGGCGGCAAGCGCTGAGCCACTAGGTCGGCCGAAGTTCTTCGAATCTTTTTGCGCATCCACGCATACAGTCCGTGAGAATGATTTGATCGCTGTGAGACGCATGTGCAACACAGACTTGAGACATCACTCGCGTGCGGACCGGGAGCGAGGCCCAACCGGCTTCACTGTCCAATCCCAAACGTTTTCACCAGGGGATAATGGAGAGGGCCAGGCATTCCCTAGCAGAACGTCCATGGCAAGGCCAGGTGCAAGGGCAGCGAGGCCCAAATGGCTTCACTATGCGGACCCACATCTTTTCACCCAAGGACAGCGGCGAGAGCCAGGCATTCTCTAGCAGAACGTCCATGGCAAGGTGCAAGGGTGTTCAAACCATCCCCAATGTCCAATGCGGAGGCGTCATCATCCCGGGCTGCGGGATCCTGCATGTTTGCTGCAACAGCTTGGGCTCATTCTCGGTGAACACCTCAGGGCGCGGCAGGTTGCCAGTGAGCGCTATGTCTTCAAGGGTTGATGTGGATGCTACTTGCTTTTGATATGTTTGTCGTTTGCTTGTGGCTGCGCTAGATTCTGACGACACTGAAGGCTGCACGACAACCGAGGCCATGGCAAAGCCAAGGGCACTGGCCACCATGCCGCAAAAGAGCAGCAACCCCATAGCAAGTCTCCACCGCAGCGTGCGTCCTCGACAAGGCCGAAGTAAACCACACGGCCATGGGTCAAAATCCCGTACCCCCAGTGAACATCGCAATCCCCACTAAAATAGACTAAAATGGGTGGTGCACCTTCCCCAAGATGGTACCATTGGTTTTCACCCACAGCCACATTGCCTGGGTGCGAGCCTGATCTGCCTTCCTACTGCCAGCACATTCCTTGCAGTTTCAGCGGCTTCCCTGCACAATGTGTTCCCTAGACAACCCAAAAATACTGATCGCTTGCCAAATCACGATCCAGCAGTTTGAGGCCGACCAGGGCCGGTGCGAGGGCAGTAAAGACACCAACGCACAATGCTCCATCTATGACGTTTACCAATCCTCGGCATGTGCAGGTGGTAAAAGCGATGAGTGCGACGCAGTGTCAGCATAAAGGCTTGCCACGTTGAATGCTCACACCAACGTCATCCCAAACACATGACGGCTCGCATCTGGATGAGTGGTCAATGTGTCACAAACAGCAGTTTAAACAGACCGCAACAGCCAGCATGGCATCCCCTGCGTGTCCCCTGTGTGTTCTTTCTCATCTGCGCGTGTGTTTGTTGTTGCTGCTGTTTGACGCTGCAGTTGTAGTACTAGCTGTTGTGCTTGTTGTCGTTGTCCTGCTGGCGCTGTTGGTGCTTTTTGTCGTGGTGCTGCTGATATTGTTGACGTTGTTGCTGTAGCTGTTGTTGCTGTTGTTGGTGATGTTGGCGTTCTTGGTTTTGTTGTGCTGTGTGTGGTTTGTTTGCCCTTGTGAGTCATGATCAACACCTGATATTATAATGCCATGTAAAGAACTAGCAAGGGGGCTGCACCCATTTGTGGTTTGGAATGTCCCTTACTACCCTTCATCTACCAGGATTGTGAGTGGCTCTTGCGTTGTTGTGCTGTGGATGTTGTGGTGGTGGTGGTGGTGGTGGTGGTTGTGGGGGCAGAGCGGCCGGCTGGCTGGCTGCAACAAGGTAAGCATGCCTGACACAGCATGTTGCAAATCTCAAAAGTCCGCCGCTCAGTCAGTCGTGCACGGTCGTGCATACCGGTTCATGCCCACTCGCAACACAATCGTCCACTTAGGCAAACACCGAAAACCCGTGACAAGGAAGCAAGCGCCAGGCAGGGCCAAGTCACCCAAAGATGTCACGAACAAAGCCGTAACAAAGGAGGCCCCCACGAAAAAGAGAGTCAGCGCAGCCACCTCAGCATCCGAGAGGGACCGAGGAAACGTTTGCTAAATATATGTATGATATGTATGCGGGTGCTTCCCAAAATCTCTCTCCCAGTTTGATGGTGGGACATGGTGGGACATGGTGGGACATGGAGGGACATGGTGGGACATGGTGGGACGTGGTGGGACGTGGTGGGACGTGGTGGGACGTGGTGGGACGTGGCGGGACATGGGACAGAAGGGGCATGTCCAGATTTCTGCATCATATCGCCTCTCACACTTGACACATCTGGCCATGGGTCAAAATCCAAATCGTACCCCCAGGGAACATCAACCAATCCCCTCTAGAATAGGTTCTAAAATTGATTGTTTTCTTTTCACCTACCAACCAAGATGGGATGCCAAAACGGCTTTGACAATCACCATCTCATCTTCCGGGGGGCTGCCAGGAACTTCCTTCGCACCGCGACAGGCCCAGCGCCGAAGCGCTCCAGCGGGAGGTTCTTCAGAGGCGCCGTCCTCGGGTCAAATTTCTCGTCGCTTCACACAAGAACCAGCTGGGTGTGGGTCAAAAATAGGGTAACCCCAGAATGGAACCCTGGCAACTGGAAACAAAGACTAAAACCTGCGGTCCCCTGATGGCTTAATTTTGACCCAGACCCAGCTGCTGAGTCACAATCAAAACGCGGTGAAGTAGTCTACCCAGAACCATGTAAAGAAGTAAGAAGGCGGATATCCGCAACTATTTCTGGCTGGGACTCGGACTGCCCCTTACTAATCTTCATCTACCCGGGTTTTGATTGTGGCTCAGCTGAAGTTTCTCCCGGTTCCATTCTCGTCTTCTTTTTGGGTGGGGAGGATTGGGAGATTCATGTGGCCCTTGCTGAGAACAAGCAAGTAACGTGTCCAGTCTAGCCCTTCAAGCATCGCTCCACCCGCACAAGACTCGCTCAGCTTCTGGTCCAACCGGTCATGACTATTGGAATGCCTACGCAATGCACGGCTCCCCTGATGCGGAGGGGAACTGAGTAGGCGGATCCAACCCCTTGGAGAGTTTGAAAGGGAAAGCATGGAAAGCGAGAAGCTGAGTGCAGCTGCCGGGTGGGTTGGGGCTGGGACCTCCTTCCCAGCCACAGGCCAAGGTGTAATGGTGATGCGAAAATCATACAATTATTTGGGGTGCCCCCCTCTCGGCCCCAGAGCCAGGCGTTTTGCGTTTATCACTCTCTCTTTGAAAAACATGTTGCTTGCGAGAAAGTAGTCAAACGGGAAGCACTTCGCTTGATTTTCAATTCGCCCGGCCTAAACGACAGGAAACGGGTGGCCTCAACCCAGTCTCACTGGACTAGTCATATTTCCAAAAGCGAAGAATCAAGCGCACGGGCACCAAAACCATTTCTCCGCGATTCAAGAAGGTTCCATTTACTGTTTTGAAGGAAAACTGCGCACCCTCCCCGTGTACAGGGGGGGGTGCCCCCCCCCCTGTTAGCTTGCTAATAGCAAGCTAATAGCAAGCTAATAGCTGCCTAATAGCGCCAACCGGGTGGTTTGTCAATGCGCCGGCTGAAGGCTCACCCCTCAGGCGCCACCAAAGATCCCTCACTGTCAGGAGGCAATGCTCGTTTATATTCGAAATGGAAGGCCAAAGGCCAAACAAACAAGTTAGTTTGGGTGCAGAAGAGCAGCGTGGTACATGTTTCGAACATGCATACCTTCAGACTTTTCAAACTCCTCTTCGCTGCATGGCTGTGTTGCCCAGTACACAGGCCAAAACTGTGTGGGCCAATTTTGCGGTGCGAAGGTGCTAACAGAACCATAACAAATAGCTTGCTATTAGCGTGTTATTAGCAGTACTTCCACTCCGCACTAATAGTTTGCTATTAGCAAGCAAATAGCCCGCAAATAAAAGCTTGTTGGTGTGCCTGTGAAACGCAAAGGAGGCGGGCACCCCTGGAGGGGGGCACCCCAAATAATTGTATGAGAAAAGTGCGCTCGTTCTGTCTAACAAATTGCCTGGTGCAATTACTACGTACAAGCAAGACCATCTTTTGCTCATTTGCCTCCAACTCTTTGCTCATCCTGCTCCTCAATCGGTAGCAACCCAGCGCGAGTGAGACCCCCAGTTTCTGTGTCAGGCAGCCGGAAATTCACACATCAGCTCGGTTATGGTCGGCTCACCTATTTGGTGGACTGCGGGCAAGAGTCATCGCAATCATCATCACAGGGTACACGGCCGCCAGCACAAGGATCATGCCAGCTTGCACCACCTCATGCAACAGCTCGCACGCTGGACATGCGCAAGCATCCGTTTCGGTGATACATGCAAGTCCCTTGGGCAACGCGACCATGCCTGTCACCACACCCTTCGGCACATACTGGAATGCGGCGGAGCTGCGTCCATGGCAACATTGTGTGGCAAGGACAGCAAGACGTTGGACTGCACCTGACAGTCGATCCAATCGGATCCAATCCCTCCGCTTCCATCGCTTGCAACGCTTGCAGCCTGGCCACCTTGGGGCCAAAGGCATAGTACCCAGCGGCGGACAGGACGATGAAGATCAGCGCCAGGGCAGAGAAAGCCACCGCCAGCACCCTGGCAGCAAGCCACCGCACGCTACACCCAGAAAGGGCTACCTGGGGGCTACCTGGGTATGGGTCAGGGGACCGCAGGTTCTTGGTCCATGGCTCCACTTACCAGGGCTCCATTTGGGGTACCTATTCTTGGACCGCCACATCGTAACTCTGTTCGTTCTCACGGCCTCGAGAACTTTGCCGGAGATCGGTTCTCCAGCTCCTTGTACATGGGGAGCACGCACATCCTTGTCCAAATTGCAGGGTGAACTCAAACACGTCGGCTTTGAAACGGAATCAAGTGCAGATCGGAGCGCCCACAGCGCAAGCTTTGAGCGCTTACCAGCTAAGCAGCTGGATGATCACGCTCTGCATCATGGTGCTAATCATGGTGACCGAGCCCTGCAACGCACCGTCTAACATGGGAGCCCCCCAAACATGAAATCCTCTGAACAGAAGCCTTGGTCAAGTTGGAGCCTTCCCTTTTGGCCAGGGACTGTCCCTTTTGCCCCAGAAACCCAAAAAGCGCCAGGCGCCCCGCCAGGCGCCTTGGCGAAGCCCAGGTCGCAAGTGCCTTCGGGCAGCTCATGCGACTGGGCCTTCTGAACAAACTCCAAGACCACGAGGCCCATCAAATACCTCACGGAGCTCGGAGCTCGGAGCTTTTTCACGGCCCTCGAAATCGCGGTATGGCGCGGCGAAAAGGCGGATTTTGTCATGCTCACGCTGGCTGAACAGCCGAACCAGTCAGCATCTCCGACATCATGTGACTCTAAGCTTGCCGAGCATCACGTTCACAAGGATGGCAGCACCAGAAGAAAAGGACAAATATCTCTGGTCCAAAAAGCCTCGCACTTGACTGTCAGCATGGATTCACGTTCATCCCAAGTCCAAGTGCTTGCATGTTCGTTGCAACTGGCCACAAGTTCCCCGCGACCTTCCTGAAAACTTGCAGCCCCGCAACAAAGCGGGAGCACCAAAAGAGAGGCCAAGCCTGCCAGGGCCCATCCTTGGCGTCTCACGGTGTTCGAAGCACTCCCGTTCCACAAAAGTCTCTGATGGGCATGACTCATCAAGAACCGAAGAATGAATGCCAGAGTCTTGCCAAGCGTCGCTGTGAGCCTAGGAAGGTGCCCTGGACAAAGGACTGCGCAGAGTCGCAAATGCCGATAATGTAGCTGATCAAGCTCCCAAACAGCACGATCCACACCATAAGGTTGGTGAACATCCTGAGCACTGCGTGCCATGCTGCATTCACTGCATGCCAGAAGTCCATCAATTTCGAGCAAAAGGCAGGGCGCTTCAAGCTGCACTCTGCCTGCCACCTGGCCGAGCGGCTGCATGCCAGGCCCAAGACTGCCTGGCAGCTTGCCCAGCAAAGCCCCGAGGTCGAAGACCTGGTGCCTCCCGTGCCGAGCATGCGTCATGAGCCCGTTGAGCTGCTTAGGCAAATAAACCCTTGGAAGCGTGTTTTCGCTGGCGCGGAAACCCTTTTTGCATACAAAAGCTGACAACTTTATTGCACCGCTGGAGGCAGGCCATGCCTTTCGGCCGCATGCACGAGGATCATAATGGTCCAGACGTTCCTCGGATAGCTGTCATGGCTAGAATAATAGCTCAAACCTTGCAACTGAGTTCAACGCAATACGCAGCTGGACACCCACATGCTGAAAATGTCTTACGCTCTCCCTCAGGCAAGATTCACAGCGATCACAAGCCTTGGTTCGGCAAAGAGCATCGGCTCGCTGGTGACTCAGGGTCGAACTGAGGCGTTGCCGCTCTGCACACGATGCGGCCAAGTGGCACAATGATCAGAGAGCCCACAGCGACAGAGGCGCCCGCCATCGCCCAAGGAAGGCTCAACATGCCTGTGCCAAGGCCTCCAGGTCCAAAGAAAAACAACCCGAAAGAAACCTGAAGCAAAGACTCCAAAACCCGCATTGTGACATGCCTGTCTGTGGTGCACACGCGCACACGTGCGCGCCGTGTGTGTGTGTGTGTGTGTGTGTGTGTGTGTGTGTGTGTGTGTGTGTGTGTGTGTGTGTGTGTGTGTGTGTGTGTGTCTGTGTGTGTCTGTGTGTGTCTGTGTGTGTGTATCTATGTGTGTCTGTGTGTGTGTGTGTGTGTGTCTGTGTGAGTCTGTGTGTGTTGCGTATGTCTGCGTGTGTGTGTGTGTGTGTCTGCATGCGTGCGTGCGTGTGTGCGTGGGTGGGTGTGTGTGTGTGTGTGTGTGTGTGCATGTCTGTGTCTGTGTCTGTGTGTGTGTCTGTGTCTGTGTGTGTGTGTGTCTGTGTGTGCGTGTCTGTGCGTGTCTGTGCTGTGCGTGTGCGTGCGTGTGTGGGTGTGCGCGTGTGCGCGTGTGTGTGTGTGTGTGGGTGCGTGCGTGCGTGCGTGCGTGCGTGCGTCCTTGCGTGAGTCCGTCCGTGCGTGTGTGTGGGTGTGCGTGCGTGCGTGTGTGTGTGTGTGTGTGGGTGTGTGCGTGCGTGTCTGTGTGTGTGTGTGGGTGCCTGCGTGTGTGCGTGCGGGCGTGGATGGGTGTGTGTGTGTGCGCGCGTGAGCATGTGCGTGAGCGTGCGCATGTGCGCGTGCGAGTGCCTGTGTCTAGTGTACGTGATGCGGGTTGTGTATGTGTGTGTGTGTGTTCTTTTGGCTGTGTGTGTGTGTGTGTGTGGTGTGTGTGTGTTGTGTGCTGCGTGTGCATGTGTGTGTGTGTTGCATGCGTTGTGTGTGTGTGGTGTGCTGTGTGTGTGTGTGTGCGCGTGTCTTCTGTGTCTTGTGTGTGTGTACTATTTGGTGTGTGCGTGTGTTGGGTTCATTGTGTGTGTGTGTGCCTGTGTGTCGTGTCTCGCGTGCGTCTGCATTGTGTGTGTGGGTGCTGTGTTTGTGTGTGTGTGTGTCTTGTGTGTGTGTGCTTTGTGTGTGCGTGTGTGTGTGTGTGTTGTGTGTGTGAGTGTGTGCGTTTCCTGTCTTGTGTGTGTGTGCGTTTGTCTGTGTGTGTGGTGTGTGTGTGTGGTGTGTGCGTGTTGAATGCACTCTGTGTGTGTGTGTCGTATCTTCTGTGCGTTCACGTGTGTGTCGTCTGCATTGTGTGTGTGTGTTGTGTCTGGTGTGTGTTGTGTGTGTGTGTGTGTCGTGTGTTATGTGTGTGTGTGTGCGTATGTGTTGTGTGTCTCTGCCGTGTGCGTTGTGTGCGTGTATCGGTTCTGTTTGGGTGCTGTGTGCTTGTCTGTGTGTTTGTGTGCGTTGCTTGCGTTGCATGTGCGTGTGGGTTGCGTGTGTGTGTGTGTGTGTGTAGTGTGTGTGTGTGTGTGCTTTGTCTAAGTGTCCGTGCTGTGCGGTCTGTGTGTGTGTGTTTGTGTTTGTGTGTTCCCTGCCATTGTGTGCTTGACTGCTTGTCCTTGTGTGTATGCGCGCTTGTATTCTGTGTGCGTGCGTATTGGATGCGCTGTGTTGCGTGCGTGCGTGCGTACGTGCGTGCGTGCGTGCGTGCGTGCTTGTGTCATGTATGTTTGTGTGTCCGACGCTTGCGTTTGCCTGCATGATCGTGCTCATGCTTGCTGTTGCTTGTTGTATGCGTGCAGGAGTGCAATGTTGTTGCTGATTGCTTGCTTGCTTGTGTGCTTGCTTGTTTGTGGTTTGTGTATTTGTGTGCCTGTTTGCTTGCTCGTTTGTTTGTGTGTGTGTGTGTATTTGTGTGCCTGTTTGCTTGCTTGCTGGCTTGTTTGTGGTTGTCTGATTGTTTGTTTGTTTGTTTGTTTGATTGATTGATTGATTGTTTGTTGTTTGATTGCTTGTTTGTTTGCTCGTTTATTTATTCCTGTTTGTTTGCTTGCTTGTTTGTTTGTTTGTGTACTTGTTTGCTGGCTTGGCTGCTTGCTTGCTTGCTTGTTTGCGGGCTTGGTTCTTATTTTGGGTTTGGTTTGGGTTGTATTTGCGTGCTATTTGTGGTTGTGTGCTGTTGGTTGCAAGTTTGTATTTGTATGTGTGTGTGTGCTCTTGCTTGTTTGTGCTTGCGTGATGTGTGGCGAGTTTCGTTCCTTCGTTCGCTTGTGTGTTTGTGTGTTTGCATGTTTGCGTGGTTGTGCTTGCTTCTGCTCGTCTGTCCTTGTTTGTGCTTGTTTGTTTGCTTGTGGATTGTTTCATGGATGTGTGTTTCTTTATGTGTGTTGGTTAGTGTGTTTGCGTGTGTGTGTGTGTGTCTTTGTTTGTTTGTGTGCCTCTCTGTCTGCCTGTCTGGTTTGCATGTTTGTCTCTCTGTCTGCTTGTTGGTTTGACTGCTTGTGGGCTTGTGCTTTTTCTTGCGTGTGTGTTTGTGTGTGCTTGTTTGCGAGTGTGCTTGCAAGTGAGCGCGCGAGTGCGTGAGTGCGCGGTCTTTATCCCTCGTTGCAGGCGCCTCCAACAATCAGATTCAAGACCATGGCGGACGAGGTCACCTTGGCCCAGGCAGTTGGAGTTTCAGCACTTCTCATGGGTCTACCTTGTCGGAATCGTTGACGCTTGTGGCTGAAATCTCAAAGGAGCCAGCTGCCTCGAGCAAGCTACACTCAGGCGAAAGAGGTCATGCTTGCCAACCGATTGAAGCTCTGAACCTGGCATTTTTTGGTCTGCCACTGGGCGGCGCTGGGCTCGTCCGCGGCGGCTGCACTCAACAAGCTGGAAGGCGAAATTGAAGCCTGAGAGCTTGAAATTTGAATTGGGGAAGGCATTTCAGCCCCACTTGACAATGGCAGCAAATAGAACTCGAACCCATTGCCAACAACCGAGACAATCTTGTGGGCGAGGTTTGAAGACTCGCAAATCCTGCCCAGCAGCATCACTTCTGCTGGAAGGCACTTCGGTGGTGATCTCCGCAGGGGACTTGGCTGTGACGGTCATCGGATTCGGAAGGTATGTGGCAAGCGGCTACTTTGTTGTGAGTGCCGGGGTTTCATGCTGGTCTCTACATGCTCTCGAATACATGCGCACTTGCTTGCGTTGTGGCATGGCTTTTCTCCACAACCTGTCTTGAGCCTTTTGTTGCAGGGCGCCACTGAGGCCAGAAGCAGTTGTGCGAAACAAGGGCCTTGTTTGTGCCAACCACAAGGCCAAACCGTGCATGCCATGCCTCATAGTCTTGGGCTTCCTTGGCCACAAACTCGCCACCTGCCATGCCCAGTATCGCATAACTTGGTATGTTGCTCTCTCTCTCCCTCTCTGGCAGCTCCTGCGTGTGGAGTGTGGTTTGTGTGTGGCGGCTGAATACCCTGGCACCTTTGCGGTCTGCGATCTCTTGTTCGCGATCTCTGCTGATGGCAACCTCGCAGGGCCGTTTCGTTGGCACTTGCCTTCTTCATTGCCAGGGACAACTAGGGCCTTTTGTAGGCCCTAAGGCAACATGGTAACGGGGTCCTTTTTCAACGTGGGCTCGCTGTGCTCACGGTCTCGCAGCTTCAGAACTTCTGCTCTGGGGGCCGAGCTCGGAACTTGTACATGTCCATGGGGCTCTTGAAGATGTTGAGCGGGCCCGAGTTCCTCAGAGCTAATTGACTCTCTTCAAAGGCACTCTTGCGTTCAACCGGGCTTCCCCCGTTGTCTTGCGGTGAGTCTTTGGAGTTTGGAATGTGGGGTTGTGCTCTTGAACTCTGGAGCACCTGTTCAGGTGCAATCCATCGGGGTCAACCGCGACGCCGTGCTCGGGGTCGAGCAGAACCCGGCGCTGGTCCTCCGCGCCCATGTTGCTAAAGAGCTGCTTGGCCTGCGACGGTCCAAATGGCACACCGCGCCTGGCAATCTGTCTGAAGGGATCCTCGGAGTGTTTTGAGCTCATGGGAGCATCTTGACCCACCCCCACCCCCCCACCCCTCGGTCCTCTTTGTAATGTGCTGCGGTCCGCCGTCCTGAACACGTGCCTACGCTACCGATCGGGCGCCCCTCATATTGGCCGCTCCCACGTCGTGGTCCCTGCTGGGTTGTCCACTCGCCAGTAGTAGCGGTTCCCTGATGCAGGGTCCACGGTTGACTGCCAGCCCTCTGGAAGGCGGTCTGCATCTTGCGCCCCTGCGGCAGCTGCATCTGGCCGCTGGCTCTGTGCTATGCCTGCAGGCTGGGCTTCACCGTCCAAGCTTGCGGACACGTTCCGGTCCCAAGTTTCCTGAAGCTGTGCCCGCTCCCGCCGGCTGCTGACAACCCCAAGTGCCCGGCGTAATGATGGCACTCCCGAGTCCACATCTGGGTCGCACCCCTGGCTCTTCATCTCCTCCAAAACTTTGTCCACGGCTTCAAAGTCCTCAGCCAAGGCCGCAGTCCGCAGCATGATGGCCCAGGCCTCCTCTAAGCGGACGTCTGGGATCGCCTGCCGCATCTCTCCGTAGATGCGGGTCTGATCCCGGATGTTTCGGGAGCTCACCATGAGTGCGCGCCAGTCGGCGGCGCGCGGCGTCAGCCCGGCGCTACGCATCTCCTCCATCACTTTCTCCGCCTGCTGCAAGTCATCGCCACAGGCCACGATGAGCGCATTGAAGTGCTTCGCCTGTGCCAGGGTGCCAGTGTCCTGCATCTGCTGCAGCAAGCCTCGGGCCTGGTCGGGCAATCTGGCACGCCCGCAGGCAGTCATGGCAATCAAGTAGACAACATCCCAGCTTGCGCTTGCCTGAAGCTCCGGGTCGGTCTTGAGGGTCTCCAGCAATTTCAGACTTTCCGCCCAGTTGTTGCTCTCCGAACAACTGGTGAGCATCTGGGTGTATGTCACCGAGGTGCGGGGCACCTGCTCAGCGTCCATCTGGCGCAGCAAAACTTCAAAGTCGTGGGTGTGGCGCAGCCGGGCCAACATGCCCAGCATCATGTTGTACATGATGGTGTCTCGCGCTGGAGCACCCCGAAACACCGCTTTTGCCTCCTCATACCTCATGCACCTGGTAAGGCACAGCAACATGCCACGGAAATGTGGCACCCAATCAGGCCCGGCATCTTGGGGAATCTGCCTGAATAATTGAAATGAACCATCTGCATCCTGGTCATGGGAACACTGCCGAATTTTTGACAACAGGCTGCTCTGCTCAGGCGTCAGATCTCTCGTGGGCGGCTGCGGAAGTCGCTCCAATCGTTGTGAGTCTCTCTCCTGCATCTGCTGGCGAAAAAGTCGGTCCTGCAGGGTTCTGGGCAGTGCCGGCTCCCTTGTCTGGATCGGCAGCTGCTGCTCATGCAAGTTGGTGAGCCATCTGGTGCCAAGTAGTCGTTGACAAGCTGCCCGCCATCTTGGGTCTACCCGAGAACACGCTACACAAAGCATGGCGCCGGCAATACCTGACCCAAATCTAGCGAATTTGAAAACGAGCGATTGATCAATGCACACGGCCTCTTGCTTCACTAAGCTGCCTTCTTAGGCCTAGCTTCTTCAGCATGGGCCCGCCTCAGAGTTCAAACCCTCACTGTTCTTGCGGAAGAACTCATCCTGAGCGTGCCGAGGGACAGGCTGACTGGCCTGTCCCAATAGCCATCTGCGTGAGGCTTTGCAGGTCTCTTCTGTGCGACGCTTCTTTCCGCAGGTGCCACCGGTTCAGCCTGCTTTGCCACTCTGCACGTGTGCCATTCTACGGCTCAACAGCTGGCACATCACCTGCTAAACAGCTAAAACAACGCATGGCAGCTCTCAGGGATATTGCCGTCTGCCAGGATAGCCAGGATAGCCTGTCGCAACGCCAATGCCAAGGCAGCAAACTCAACCTACCTCTGTCCGCACTTCCGCCCATGCCATGGTGTGCGATCCATGCGGGCCCAAACTACCTGTAAAGAGTTTCGAGTCGAACGGCGCCTGAGCTGCTTATGCCGGGCAAACCTCACTGCGCACCCAGCAGGGCCCGCGATGGTTCTCCCCGCAGCATGGACATTGAGGTGACCCCAAAAAAAAACCGTAAAAACAAGGCCGGCCAAACCATGAAAGCACCATCACGTGGAAGCTCAGGACTGTCCAAGCCCCCAAAGCGACTCGGGCCCCTGCCGATTCCGAGCCCGCTGCGCGCCCCAATCTGGCCGGCTTGACTGAAGTCCATGGGGCCTGCCAGCAAGGAACACTTAAGGATACCTGATATGGTGCTGCATCGCCATCACCTAACAGTTGGATTGCCGCTTGCCTGTGAACTCAGCGGTCATTGCAAGCGTGACCTCCTTTTGCTAACATCAGCTTAGATGTTCCTAACTGCTTCCTGTTGGGTGATTTTTGATGTTGGACGCATGGCAATATTTCCTATGTGCCTCTCCAATTGCCGGGCTGCCTAAGCGAAATCCGTTCAATCAAGTCTTGTTTATTCCATGCTCCGTGACAACACCACCGACTAGCGCGCCATATTTCAGCTATGCCGATCTGCTTCGTCAAAATCGGTCTGATCAACACATGCGCGAGCTCTGGTGCCGAATATGGCCTTGGCCTCCAGCCTGCGAACTGTGGCTGGATATTTGTTTTGCACGTGGCACTATGTCATGACATACTCTATCTTTCTCCCTGCTGCATATGCATAACCCTGTTCAGAGAATCGAAGCTCTTCTTGTGTCGCAGTTTTCCAGCACTCATGGAAGGATAGGGAGATCAAGCAAGTGGCTTTGCATGACAACAACCATTAAAAAAGCAGCAGTTTTCAAGAACAACTATTCCAAATATGCGTTTCTCCGCATAGAGCCGGTAAAATGTTGCTCCTTGGCATGCATCTCCTTCCACTGATTTGTTTGTTTGACGTGTTGACATTCTGCTTGTGGTGCTTCTTTGGGCAGAAGAAATGTCTACTCGTGCCAGGCCCAGGAGGCTGCAGGCGCTGACATGGGCAGCCCAACTGTCTGAACTGCCCTGGCCCAGCGGATGTGTGCTCCAGAGTTGCATGTGCTCTCTCCAAACGGCCGTCGAACCCACTGCCCGGTTGGTTGCCCTAGGCGCAAGCCCTGCTGGTTCGCCCTGCTGGCTCTGGATATGTTCGGGGTCATGCGTCGTTGCTGGCAGCTCTTGCATGTGCCTTCGGTTGGTTTACGGCGGGCCCAAAAGGCCTTGGCCGGACGTGCCAGCACTTAAAATGTGTCATGATGTCATGCATAGCCCCGCATACTGATCTTTCATGGCGTGGTACACCTAGGCTCACTGCACTGTGATTGTACACAGCTGAGTCTAGGTGATGCTGCATACTTGCTGTTGCTCGAATGTACTCCACATGCCCGGCATAGGTGATGTGCCGTGTTCATTTCCCATTCGCGCCGACAGTTGCACTTTGGTGCTTCGTGGCACTGACTTCAACTTTGTGCTTCGTGATGTCGCATCATAGGGCTTTGAGCAATGTCGCCAGGGTCGTCAGCGACAATGCTGGCACAATCTTGGGCCTAAACAAACGTACGTGATTTCCGCGAGACGTGACAGCTGCCCATATGCTCCTCCTTATGCTTGGTCTGCTGTCATCAGTCCCTGCTTTTCGCCCACATTCCGTGCGCATTACCGAGGATATAAGACCAAAGCCTCCAGAACCCGCCGAGCTGACTGGGCCGAGCCGCGGAGCGAGCCCAGAGCCCGCCTCTGCCGAGCGCCTCCAGCGTCCCGCGGCCCAGGGCCATCTCCAGCTGCGCCGTGTCCCGCCGCCTTCGCGCCAAGTCCTCGCTGAGGAGCCTCGGGTTGAAGACCAGCCCATTCACCCACCCGCCCCTGTCCCCCCCGTCCCCCCCCCCCCCTGCCCCAACACCCAAACGCCCAAACGCCCAAACGCCCAAACGCCCAAACACCCAAACACCCAAACACCCAAACAAAAAATAAAGCACCCGCAACGGCCACGCGGGCGGCTCCAGATCCCTCCGAACTTCTCTTATAAACGCTCAGCACCCTGATCGGAATCTATCCGAACCCATCGAAATCCCTGACCACCACAAACCCAATAAAACGTCTTCCCACCGCTGCACGGACCCTCCAGAAACCTACCCCCGAGCTGCTATGTACCTCTTCGGAGCTTGTCTGGGCAGAGACTCCATGGCTTTCAGCCTTTGGGGTGTGGGTGTGCTAAATCATATGTGTAGGCTGGTCCTAAGGGGAGTCCGTCCAGGGCATCCAGCCTTGGAGGTTCAACTTGAGAGGCATAGAATTGACTTGCTTGTGTTCGCAGATGACAACACAGACTTGTCGTCCTGCCACACTCTTATTGAATTTTAGCAGGTGCTGAGTAAATGATGAGTTGAGTGTCTAATCAACCGAGTTGAGTGTCTAAACAACCGAGTGGAAGAAGACATAGCCAAAGCAAACTCAAATCAATGAAGGCATCGCCGGCGAGCTCATGCACAGCCACCCAAGAAGTGCATGGTATCAGGGTTTGGGCACTGTATGTGGGAAAAACATCTAGCCCGCTCTCCACAGCAAAGCGTTCAAACAGCTAAGCATTCCAACAGCTGCAAACAGCTGCCACATTTCCCACCTTTGACTGCTGCGAACTTGCCTGGGAACAAATGCCCCTCCTCCTCAAAAAAAAAGCAGGAGGAAAACAGAACGGTCGCATGTTTTTTTTTTTTTTGTTTTTTTTTTTTTTCCGGGGGGGGGGATTTTGTTTTTTTGGCAGCGCAGCTTTCTGATTGAATGCCCAGGTGCTCCAAGAGCTCCCCTTGCTGCGCTGTGACTTTGAGCACGGCAGTCTCGGCGCTGTCGGCGCTCTGGCTCCCCCGCGCACCTGCGCAAGCGGCAGGGGCGGGCAGGGCCAGGGGCGTGGGATGAGGATGCGCCTGCCGTATCGAGATGCAGAGCGGGGGGGGGGGGTTTGGGGGGGGAAAACGCTCCTTACTCGGTAATGGCCCTTGGGCGCCGATTGCACGAAAACAACTTGGGGAGGCTAGTTCTGACCCGTTTGAGGATGTTAGGTGACATTTCTGTGCGAACTCGCCCTCCCAAACTCGTTTCGGCGGGGGTTGGCAGATGCCGGAAAGCGCGCTTGGCAATGCAAAGCGATGTTCGGAAGGCCAACCCATCGGACACACACACACACACATACACACACACACACATAGGCACAGGCACAGGCACAGGCACAGACACAGACACAGACACAGACACAGACACACGCACACGCACACACAACACACCACACCACACCACACCACACCACACCACAACACAACACAACACAACACAACACACACACACAACACACATGTAACACACACACACACACACACGCACACGCACACGCACACGCACACGCGCACGCGCACGCGCACGCGCACGCGCACGCGCGCACACGCACACGCACACGCAAACGCACACGCACACGCACACGCACACACACACACACACACACACACACACACACACACACACACACACACACACACACACACACACACACACACACACACACACACACACACACACACACACACACACACCCACGCACGCACGCACGCACGCACGCATGCAGACACACACACACACACACGCAGACATACGCAACACACACAGACTCACACAGACACACACACACACAGACACACATAGATACACACACACAGACACACACAGACACACACAGACACACACACACACACACACACACACACACACACACACACACACACACACACACACACACACACACACACGCACCCCCACCCACACACACACACACACTCCACGCACACGTGCACGCACACGCACACGCACACGCACACGCACACGCACACGCACACGCACACGCACGCGCACGCGCACGCGCGCGCGCGCGCGCGCACGCGCACACGCACACGCACACGCACACGCACACCCACACGCACACCCACACACACACACACACAGACAACTCACATAACACATAACACAAAACACATAACACATAAGACATAACACTTACACACACACACACACATGTTCCACTGAAATTAGAACTGGAGGAGACACCCAGAGCAGCAAACAAGATATCGTTTGTGCCAGGATGAGCAAAGTATGACACAATCACAGAGTACATCGCCAGCCCCCTGACAGTACAACCCCCAAATCAATGTCGACCCAAAGGGCCAGCAACGGCCAATTTTGCCAATGTTCCAAGCCGCTTCTGCCAGGGATGGCCAGGGCCTCTTGTCAGAAGGCCACAGCCTCCGAGGCCCAAAGGCGCAAGGCGGCAGCGACTGCAGGGCTGTGTTGGCACAAGCCCCGCTCGCTCCAGGCCACGAGCTCATAGTGGTGGACCTCCTCTGGGCGCGTGGCATCCGACGCCTCCGGCGGCCTCCATTGCGCCATGTCCGGGTTCCCCGTCTTCAGCAGCAGCGCCTTCATCCTTTCCAGGGTGGCCGGGCGTTGCTCCCAGAGATTCACCAGGACGCCCTTGAACCCGGCCGCCTGCAACACGTCGGCCACATCTTCGGCCAGTTGAGTGATGCCCTGGGAGCGCACAGTTAGGGCCAAGGTGTCGAAGTTCATGTGAAGCAAACACACCCGGTCCTTCAAAGATGCTCTGGCGCCGCGCAGAACTGCCAGCTCATCCCCCTGCACGTGTACCTTGAGCAAATCGATGGCTCCATCATCGGAAAGCGTCGGGAGATATGTGTCCAAAGTTTCTGCTGTAGTGGCCCGATCAACGCAATGAAAGAGATTGTTGGATGCTTGACTATATCTCTCCTCACACTTGTGGAACGTTGCCAGCGCCATGGAGTGGCTTGGGAAGGAAATCTCCACTGAGCCCTTGGTATCTCTCATGGCCATCTCCTCCACGACAAGCTGGAAGGGTCGGTTTCTCCTGTTTCGGCCCCATGCCTCTTGCAGGCTGTGTGCCGAGCGCCGGAAAGCGGCGGCAGCAGCAGGCAAAGCCTCAAAGCCCCTCAGCTCGAGTGCGAGCCGCGAATGCTGCAGAAGCATGGAGCCGGCCCACAGCAAGCAGTCCCCCCAGCTGGCACCGATGTCCCACAGCCGCAACCTCTGTTGCCCGTCCTGGCGGATCATGGCCAGGATGATGTATAAGAACCCGGGCGCATAGCACATTGGCTGCTCAGTGGTTCTGACCATGTTGCTGGCAGCATCGAAGCCCGGATGGATGTGCTGCTCTAACAGGGGCATGGAGAAGTTCAGAGGCTGCAAGATCCTTGCGAGTCGGGCCCCCGGAAAGTGCACCGTGTTCTTCAAGTAGTCGCCCGGGCGCGTCAAGATCACCCCAGGCCAGGACACCGCCTGCAGCAAGTTCACCACCGGCACCTCCAGCTTGATCAAGACGGAGAAGGGATGCGAGAACAGACCGATCCAGGACTTCAGCTGGGCGTCTGCAAAGTCAATGAGGCGCCTGGCCTCCAGCCCCAAAGCCATCAGCTCCTCCGCCGGGGCCCGGACCAGGTCCCTCTTCCGGAGGTTGTGGTAGCTCACCAAGGCTGTGAGCAGCGGCATGAGGGGCCACAGCACCTGGGCAACATGTGCCGCACCCCACTCTTGAAGCTTTTTTTCCTGCAAGTGCCACTAGTGAAGTCAAAAGGCGGAAACGTACTTCACACTCCAGGCAAACCCATGGCGTGTCCAGCAGTTCCTCCCCAAATGCAGTTCAATAGCGTTTGGCAATCGGGGATACATGGTTGCGGCAATCAGGGGGTGGAGGCGCTACTGAAATCAATAAATGAACATTGAATGCTTGCGACGGTTGAAGCCATGGCGAAATTTGGGCGAGGATGATAATTCAGGCGAAACCGCAAAAGCAAACCATCCGCAACTGGAACTTCCTTTTAGGTGGATTTCAAGCAGGCGCTTTCATGGCGGGGAAGCAGGGTGCCAAATATTTGAATGTTCCAAAGCTTGTGCTGCAGTGGCGCTGGGGATTGTGTGTTCATCCTGCACGCTGTGTGTTGGAAACACTTGCCCCCACCGGGAATGCCTTCAAGTTAAGTGCAACGGCCTTGTACGGAGTAGTGCAGGATGTTGCCCTATCCACGTGGGCATCTTTCCAAACTTAGAAAGCTGCAACGCAAGAGGTTGCCCCCGTCCCCAAGCTATAATCGGCCGCAACTCAACCAGTTCCGGCCTGCTCCCCGTTTTTGGTGACGCTGTTGGCGAGCTTCACCACCACGTCTGTGGGGATCCTGCCGGCCCCTGCCTCCTCAATTACGCCGCTCAGCGTGTTGCTCCAGCGCATGGTGCGCTCCCCGGCCATGACGCCGGGCAGGCGCTGGTTGGCCAAGTCTAGGAAGCCCGCGTCCCAGCGGAAGAAGTCCATCGTCAGGAACAACGGCCACCCGGAGGTGAGGATCTCTTCGAGTGTCACCGGACTGCTGAAGAGAACCTTCATCAAGTACTCGGCCCGGTCGAAGTCCTTGTTCTTCATCTCCAGGGTCCGGTTGCGGGTGGTGACGTGCACAAGCGCCACCAGGCTGGCCATCACGCCGCCAAGCAAGCATTCCTTTGGGTCCGCTTTGTGCAGCGGGGTGTCATTCAGCGCGGTGAAGGCCCGGAAAAGCGAGACGGTCTGCCGCAAGCGCTCCCAAAACATGCCCCGACCAGAGCAAGAAAAAAATGCTCTGGGAGGCCAGCTTGACTTCGCAATGCAGCATTCGTTGTAAAACTTGGCGCGGTCTGTCCAACAGTTCTCGCCTGGTACAGTGTCTGCCTCCCACTTCACGCAGCATGTTTCGAAGGTCCGGTGCTCTGACCAGCAGCCACTCACGTCTGGGTGGGCGGCTCCCCAGGCCAAAGAATGTTGATAAGTCACCTCGTTGACCTTTGCAGCGAGGCCGTAGCCAACCACCCCATGAACGGCCCAAGCATGCGACAGAAAAAGGCCTCCCATGCTTTCCTGCTGGCCCTGCGCTTGAGCAAAGCAGCCAATGGATGCCGCATTTCAATTAGTTGGCACAAAGCCCATAGAACATAGGCTTCTTCCCACCCTATCCAGAAACCAAGGCACAAGACCACGCATCCCCACGCCTTCACCCAGTGCCAGCTTGCACTCGTCGCCGGCCAGCAAGGCACTTGGCCCACCTGGCCATGCATGTATATGGCCATGGGTCAAAATCCCGCACCCCCAGTGAACATCCCACCCCACTAAAATAGGTTCTAAAATGGGTGGTGCACCTGCCATACCATTGGTTTAGACCCACAGCCATATCCATCCGAAGTGAAAAGGACACCTCCGACTTGGCTCGCCTGGCAGCTGTACCAGCTGCCGAAGCTGCACGGACAGCTCCTCCAACCGCGCCCGCGCGCCCCCAGGCGCGCAGCAGGCCTGAAGCTATGGCTCGGGGCCCCCCGAACCCACAGAAAAAACACGCAGCTTTCAGGTGATCTTAGCTCACCCGGAACACACATCATATGAGCAACCCAGCAAGACATCTGGCTGCGGCTCAACAAGGTGGAACCCATTTCTGTGCCCCGATGGACACAAAGACCAAAACCTGCGTATGTCCAGCTCTTACAATTTGAGCCTCAGCCATCTCACATCTCCCCAAGTGGTGCCTCTTCCAGCTTGGCCAGGCGCCCTTCCAGCTGAGCCTGCAATTGTCACACTACCCCGTAGGATCATTTTGGGGACATAAAGGGCAAACCTTGGAAGGAAAGGGGCGTGATTCAAACGTGCCCGCTGGGTATCTTGCCACGTAGGTCATGGCCAGTGCGCTGCTTGAGGGTTGTTCCGGAGCGCGCGCGGGGCCGCACTCGGCACATCTACGCCGGCACGCGGCTCGAGCTTCCCGCGGTCGCCGGGATACAAATTCTAGGGGCTGCTCGGGAGGAGGCCCTGTGCTAGCGGCAGGCTATGACTGTGGTCCGCGCTTGTCAAAAGTGGAGCGCAAAGCACTGGGAATGGCCACCGGCCAAGGACTGACCGCCCTCTTCCTTGCACCCCGCCTCCTCAAACAAGAGCCCTGCTTCAGCAGAGCTTCCGCGCTGTAAACAAAAAAACACGTTGCGTCTACTTCTGACATCGCGGGATCTAAAGACATGAGGAGCGGACGAAACACTTTACTTGGCCCTAGTACTTTTTTTAGAGCTATCGTTTTTGGGGAAGACCTTATCGTTTTAATTACTGTGTTTTCGAACTTTGGCAGGTCCGGCTCGAAAATCGCAACTTTGTAGTACAAGTCTAGTACGCGAAGTACACTTACTTCCGTAGCTCCAGCTCGAAAATCGCGAAATACACTGCCGCAGCTCCAGCTGGACATTCGCAACTTTGTAGTACAAGTCTAGTACGCGAAGTACACTTCCGCAGCTCCAGCTCAAAAATCGCAACTTTGTAGTAAAAGAATAGTACGCGAAGTACACTTCCGCAGCTCCAGCCCGAAATTTCGCAACTTTGTAGTACAAGTGAAGTACGCGAAATACACTTCCGCATCTCCAGCTCGCAAATCGCAACTTTGTAGCAGAAGACACGCGAAGTACACTTCCGCAGCTCCAGCTCGAAAATCGCAACTTTGTAGTACAAGTCTAGTGCGCGAAGTACACTTCTGCAACTCCAGCTCGAAATTCGCAACTTTGTAGTAACAGTCTAGTGCGCGAAGTACACTTCCGCAGCTCCAGCTCCGAAAATGGCAAATTTGTAGTACAAGTCTAGTACGCGAAGTACCTTTCCGCATCTCCAGCTCGCAAAACGCAACTTTGTAGTACAAGTCTAGTGCGCGAAGTACACTTCCGCAGCTCCAGCTCGCAAATCGCAACTTTGTAGTACAAGTCTAGTACGAGAAGTACACTTCCGCAGCTCCAGATCCAAAAAACACAACTTTGTAGTGCAAGTCTAGTACGCGAAGTACACTTCCGCATCTCCAGCTCGAAAATCGCAACTTTGTAGTACAAGCCTAGTACGCGAAGTACACTTCCGCAGCTCCAGCTCCTAGTACGCAAAGTACACTTCCGCAGCTCCAGCTCGAAAATCGCAACTTTGTAGCACAAGTCTAGTACGCGAAGTACACTTCCGCTGCTCCAGCTCGAAAATCGCAACTTTGTAGTGCAAGTCTAGTACGCGAAGTACACTTCCGCAGCTCCAGCTCGAAAATCGCAACTTTGTAGTACAAGTCTAGTACGGGAAGTACACTTCCGCAGCTACAGCTCGAAAATCGCAACTTTGTAGTACAAGTTTAGTACGCAAAGTACACTTCCGCAGCTCCAGCTCGAAAATCGCACTTCCGCAGCTACAGCTCGAAAATCGCAACTCTGTAGCACAAGTCTAGTACGCGAAGCACACTTCCGCAGCTCCAGCTCGAAAATCGCAACTTTGTAGTACAAGTCTAATGCGCGAAGTACACTTCCGCAGCTCCAGCTCAAAAATTGCAACTTTGTAGTATAAGTCTAGTACGCAAAGCACACTTCCGCATCTCCAGCTTGAAAAACGCAACTTTGTAGTACAAATCTAGTGCGCGAAGTACACTTCTGCAGCTCCAGCTCTCAAATCGCAACTTTGTAGTGCAAGTCTAGTACGCGAAGTACACTGCCGCATCTCCAGCTCGCAAATCGCAACTTTGTAGTACAAGTCTAGCACGCGAAGTACACTTCCGCATCTCCAGCTCGAAAATCGCAACTTTGTAGTACAAGCCTAGTACGCGAAGTACACTTCCGCAGCTCCAGCTCGAAAATCGCAACTTTGTAGTACAAGCCTAGTACGCGAAGTACACTTCTGCAGCTCCAGCTCGAAAATCGCAACTTTGTAGTACAAGCCTAGTACGCGAAGTACACTTCCGCAGCTCCAGCTCGAAAATCGCAACTTCTCAGTACAAGTGTCGTATTTACGAAGCACACCTTGGCAGCTCCAGCTCGAAAGTGGCGACTCGCCTTCTCGTTTTACGGTGGCCACGCAAGGGTCCCACCCTAACTAAGTTGCAACTGCAGGGGTTATTATAGAGCCGTGTGTTAGCTAAGGGTTATCGTTTTTGGGGGAGACCTTATCGTTTTCCATGGTTTTGGCATGTGTTATGCAAAAACGAACCCCGCCTTAATAAAGTGGTCTTCGTGTGTTTTGTCCGTGGCTCACATGTTACTTTTATCTTAAGGTAATGCGTGTACCTATTATTTGTGTGAGCGCGTGGGTGTGCGATTCAGCGCGCGCAGGCGGTGCGGCTTGCGAGCTTTAGTGCTCCATCCCAAGATGCAAAATATCGAGTGTGATTCTATCCCTTTGAGGGTGTCTCACGTGGTGCTGGCCAAAAGCATCGATACAACTGTCTCGTTGCCAGGTTGCTGAAAGCAGCCCACCAGTTACCTCCACTACCAGACTGCCCCTAAGACCCTGTCCTCCTCCTGTGGTCCTCTGCGCGCTGCGCCCGTCTGCAACGCACGGCGCTCCAGAGCCACTACCACCTGCCGAGGGCAGCTTCTCACGTCATTAAATTTGGAACCTCGATTGAAGGGGCGAATATGTGGCAACCCTGAGCATCACCATTTCCCCTCGCTGCGGTGGGTTCTGGTAACTTAAAAATGGAGCTGCTGTGTGTTTGGGGGCTGCCCACATCTTGAAACCGCTGGTGGACAGCGCAGTGATTCCAGTGATCGGGACGCTGCCCCCGCCTGCAGCAATTGTCGTTGCAGCTTCTGCTGTCTTTGTCGGCACTCCTTGCGTGGCGCCGTGGTAGCAAGTTGCGTCCAACTCTGGCTAGTCAGCTTGTGTTTGCATGGGGTCCAACTCCTTTGCAGCAACAGTCATCAATCCCGATTGGTGAGAAATGCGGGGAAATCGCTGTGAGGTCTCCGCACGCGTCTGCATTTGCCGGCGGTCCTCCAGCTTCTGCCAACTTTGTGCCTGGTCGATGCAAGCCCAGCATTCCAGAGTAATGCGTGCAGGATGTGTAGGTCAGCCACAGTAGGCTCAAACAAATCAAACTGATAATCAAACCGTTCGCGCCTGCAAATGATCCTTCAGATTGCCCATGCCAGCCCTCACCTCCTGCCAGGCTGTCAAACAGGGAGATGGCGAACCCTGCCATTGAAACGGCTAGGGGCCATGGCCGCCAAAGCGAGCAGCCAGCAAAACAGCCTAGCATTGTAACGTAGCGGGGAGGCCAACCAAATTAGAGAAGCAAGCCCAAGTAAGTTCCGTAGCTCCTTAAAGTAACATGCACATACGCATAGACAATATGGAAAAATAGTCCATGACACCTCGAACCCCATTTGCGAAGCGCGCGCAAGGTGCGCGAACCCTGCAACTCGAGCCCCCTGCAACTCCAGTACAGCGCATGCCCATCCCAATGGTCACCTTCTGCCTGATCATGTCAATCGCACTTCTTCGCGTCCGTCTCGCAGTCAAAGAAATATGATGTTCTCATTCATCACAAGCATCAAGAAATCAAACTACCCCGCAGCTCTTTGCGGACCAATCTGTCTTGCAGACCCAGCTTATTTTACAAAGCGTTCGTGCAGCTTAAATTTGGCAAGCAACATCCCCCTCTGCTTCTCTTACATCT